CACCACCACACCCAGATTTTACTCATTTATGTACCGTCGCTTTGGCTATGGTTGGTCCAGATAGAGTCCATAGGGTCCACAAACATCAGAGTGCTTGCCTAGCATGTTCAAGGCCTTGGCATGATCTAAGGCTCTGAAAGGGTCCTCTCTGATACACACAGGACCAGAAAGCTAGCTCGGCTATTAAGAGTGAATACCAGTCTGGCAAGAATGTGAGTTCGACTCCCAGCACCTACCTTAGGTGGCTCACAAACATTTGTTAACTCCAGCTTCAGGGATTCAAAGCCCCCAGTCACCTGTACACACATATAAAAATGATTCTTTAAACCAGCATAGTAGTAATGCTGGCCTTTAATCCCAGCACTCGAGAGGCAGAGACAGGTGGATCTCTGAGAGTTTGAGGCAGCCTGGTCTGCGGAGCGAGTTCCAGATGCACAGCCAGAACTACATAATGAGGACAGCAGCCACCATGCTAGGAACAACTGCATGACTCAATGCCATCCCTACTGAATATACTTCATTTACAAGAAGTATGAAATCTATGCTGCAGAACACTTGTCTATTTCATGGACACATCTCTTCTTTCTCAAGCTGTTGCCAGCGGAAGTAGCCAGTCACAGAAACATTTGGATGAGGCGGGCTCAGAAACCAAAGTATCTCTTCTATCCTTGTCTTCCCAGTAGGCTAAGCCCTGCCTGCTTACGTCTCACTCTTTTTTTTTTTCTTTTGGAGGTGGGTGGGCTGCGTGATGCTGATGCATGATGCATGATGCATGCGTCAGGCGTGAGGTGAGCATGGTGCAGCTGGTCAGCGGAATCTCCAAAGTGACTAGCTCCATCACTCAGTCCTGTCTCTCCTTTATTCTACTCTCCCCTCCAGTGGAATTTGTTTTTCTCTTATGCTGCCGAGAGATGCTGCCAGCATCTCCCCGTGGTCCTGATTCTCTTCATCCTGTTTCTCTGTCCTTTTTAAATACAAACCTGCAAAATCGCATGGGTGTAAAAAGGTCCTGAATATTGACTGAATGGTTCATATGCAAACTTATAACTATGGAATGATTTTGGAAATGTGTGGGATAATCCCTGCCTTTGGTGACCTGGTCCTGCAAGTCTCTAAACGCAGATCCTTTGCCTACGACCACCTTTTAAATGAGCTCTCCAGCTAATTTTTCCTCCCTAGTGCAGAGGCTGAATCCAGTGGCTTGCACACAGCTAGGAAACCTTCTCTCACTGCACTGTGTCTCCTAAGATCTTTTTGATTTTATCTCTGTGTGTGTGTGTGTTTGAGACAGGGCCTTACTTTGTAACCCTGGCTGACCTGGAATTCACAGAGATCTGCCTGCCTCTGCCTCCTGAGTGTTGGAATTAAGGGTGTGTGCCACCACCAATAGGCTCTCAATACTATTTATTAACAGATAAGAAAGATCACAGACAGCAAGACTGAATGAAGACAGACAAACGGCCTGGAAGACAAGTGTCTTAGTTAGGGTTACTATTGCTGTGATAAAACACCACAACCAAAAGCAATTTAGGAGGAAAGGGTTTATTTAGCTCACACTTCCATATCACGGCTCACCGCTGAAGGAGGTATGAACTCAAACACAGTAGGATCTTGGAGCCAGTAGCTGATGCAGAGGGCATGGAGGGGTGTTGCTTACTGACTTGCACCCATGGCTTGCTTAGTCTGCTTTCTTATAGAACCCAGGACCACAAGACCAGGGGTGGCCCAACGCGGAACTGACCTGGGCCCTTCCCCATCAATCACTAATTAAGAAAATGCCCGAAAGCCTTGTCTACAGCCAAATCTTATGGAGACATTTTCTCAACTGGGGCTCCCTCCTCTCTGATGACTATAGCTTGTGTCAATTTGACATAAAACTAGCCAGCGCAATGCACAAGAGTGTGCTGTCAGGCCTGATTTACACTCAGGGACCTCTAGCCTCTTCCTGCTTGGAGCTTATATTTCACAGGGCTGAGTTGCATTCACATTTGAACTTTTTGTTTTTTCCCCTTGTTTTATTATTATTATTGTTGTTGTTATTATTCCCCCCCCCCAACACATGGGGAACTGAACCCAGGACATTTACTACTAAGTTAAATCTCCAGCCCCTATTTGGTTTTTGAGACAAGTTTTCCCTACGTAACCCAGACTAGTCTGGAATTTACTATGTGGTTCACATTGGCCTCGATTTTATAGGTTTTTTGCCTATACTTCCCAAGTACTGGGGTTATAGTATTTTGCCACCATGCTCAGCACATTTTAATGTTTTCTTTCTTTTCTATTTGCCTTCCTCATACACATCTGTTTTGTTTTGATTTGCTTAGACAGGGTCTCTCTCTATATTCCTGGCTAATCTTGAACTTGCTATATACTCCAGGCTAGCTATGGATTTACAGAGATCTGCCTTCCTCTGCCTCCCATTGCTGGGATTTAAGGTGTTTACTACCACACTGGCTACACTTTTTTTTGTCTGTTGAGATAGGGTTTCTCTATGTAATAGCCATGTCTGCCCTGGCTATCTACACTTGTAGACCTGGCTGGCCTTGAATCAATTCAGAGACCCTCCTGTCTCTGCCTCCAGAGTGCTGGGATTAAAGGTGTGCGCCATCACACCCAGCTTTTTTTTCTTTCTTAAGAGAGAGAAAGAGAGAAAACAAGTGAGTCATATGTGTGTATGTGTGTGTGTGTAAGTTTGTCACAATCTGCACGTGGAAGGCAGGGGACAACTTTCAGGAGCGAGTTCTCTCCTTCCATCGTGTACATGAATCCTAGGGATCTAACTCAGGTCATCCCACCTGGTATAAAGCACCTTTTGAATGACATTGTAGTGTGTGTGTGTGTGCGCTCGCGCGCGCGCGCGCGTGCACTAAACAAATAAAAATGAATGAATGAATGAACGATCATGATGTTGGTTTGGTGAAATGGCTCATTGGGCAAAAGTGCTTTCAATGCCACAGGAGGCGCACTTTCGCACAAGTGAATACATGTAATAATTGCGTGATCTCGATTATTAGTATCTGCAGCTCTCAGTTGTACAGGTCTCACCAGAATGTTCCATCGGTGTATGTAACGTAGTCTGATCACACGCATTCACCATTACCCTCTCTTGTCCCCTCCCGTTGCCACGGAGCAAGCTTGGTGCGAGGAACCCGAGGCTGGAGATGAGCAGCGGCTGCACAACTCTAGGGAGGGAGCCAGCCTCCCAGGAGGCTCAGGGAGGGTCCTGCTCCCAGGTTGTTGGGCGAGCCTTCCAGGAGAGGAAAATGGAGATGGCAGAAAGTGAAGCTGGGTGACGCAAGACGACTCTTAAGACACTTTGTGGTCCACAAGCCCTAAAGCACTTACATAATCTGACCCTTTACAGTAAAGTTGCCAATTCCGAAGTGACAGTAGTCAAATGAAATGGAATCGTAAAGCTGTGAGGTCATGGGGCCATAACCCAGGGTCAAAGGAAGGAGGCACTGTCTGTGGTGGCATAGGCTTGGGGCAAGGAATGATGCATCTCGGTGGGAAACACACATCTCGGAGAGTAAAAGTTTGATGACTTTTTGCTACGAAATGTAAAAAGTGGTCCTACCATGACGACAACCAGAAAGATTAATTAGGAAAGCATTTCTCTCCCTTCCTCCCTCCCTCCCTCCCTCCCTCCCTCCCTCCCTCCCCCATTCCGTGCAACACAGAATGGGCGAAGACTCGCCAATCTGAGCGTGTTCCTACTTAAGGGCACTGTGTCTATAAACTGACTATCCAGGGTCCACCAGGCCTGTGTGCTCCCTTGGTTTCCACTTAGGAACAAGCAAAGACTCCATCATCCAAATCCTGGTAGCCACCATGAACATAGGGCTGCCATCCATTGGGGAGAGGACAACCTGGGGCTGACTTAGAGAGGTGACTGAAGAAAGACAGGCTGACGGCTGGCTCGTGTTTGGATTCTCTGCCTGCCTCCACATCACATCCATTTTCTGTGACCCCCTCCCCCTTAAAGGTGGCAGGAAATCTGCAGAGAATCACTGAAAACCAATGCAGGAGAGCGAGCTGTTGAAGATGACCCAAGGCCAGAGTGTACAGGACTGCACAGACTCAGTCGGGAATTTCCTTTTCTAATGGGTAATAATAGTCCCTTTTCAGGCTGGACAAGTGGATGTCTCAAAAGGTAGGGGTAGAAACTGAAGTCCAAAGGTTATCGTCACCGTCCTTCATGAAGTTTAGTGTTGCAGACAGGATGTGGACTTTAACAAGGCAACTAAAACCTAGAGGAATTACCCCCTGCGCCTTTACCTTACATTAGTAGGCTTTTGGTCTTTTTCGGTTGTTGTTTTGTTGATAGTGTCTCATGTAGTACACACTGGCTTTCATCTCCCTCTGCAGCCAAAACTGACCAGGAATTTCTGATTCTCCTGCCTTCACTTCCCAAGTGCTAGGATTACAGGAGGCTGCCACCCAACTTCGAGTTCTATGTGGTTCTGGGGATTAAAGCCAGAGTTTCCTGTGTTCTACCAGCTGAGCTACACCTCAGCCCTAGGTATCTTTAAAGTAAAACAGGCTCAGACTTTCCAATGTCAATCTACAACATGCCACATTGTGTTCTGTGGCTGGTGTTAATGCTGAACACATCTGTCCAAAATCCTAAAGTGGCCTGAGGGGCTGTGAGAATGCAGACAGCGCTCTGTGCTTCCTTGGTTTGGGGCACGGTGAGAGAAGAAAGGTAAACGCCATAGAGGAATGCATCACTGTTGAAGGTTAGGACAGCGAGGAAGGACCAATAAGCCCTGGCTTTTACTTCTGAGGTTTTTCGACCCCGATGCACGCTTGCATGGCGAGCAGCACGCAACGCCAACCCCGATTTGCCGGAAACTGTGTTTGTATTTCCTGGCGGCGGTGCCCATGCAGTCCCGTTCACTTGCGGTGAACGTGCACGTGCGTGTGTGCGTGTGTGCGTGTGGGTGGGTGGGTGGGTGGGGGTCTGCGCATGCTCACACACTTCTGCCCTTTCCCGGGTCCCCTCTCGCCACCCCACCCCCTTCACGCTCTTCCTGGTGGTCTGCAGCCCACCCGACCTTTTACTACTAGACTCTCCCTTCGACTTCCCGGTCCATTTCTGTCTTTTTTATCTCCCGCTCCTCGGCCAGTTGAACTCAAAATGTCTGAAGGTGGAGACCAAGGGCAGAAGCAAAATAAAGCTAAAGCACGAAGCGCGTGAGTCAGCGAGCGGGGGAGGCCCGCCCAGGCGACTCAAGGACGGGGGCTTCGTGCCACCGTGCACATCCCCTCCGCGGGGCGGGGCCGGCCAGCGCCCACCGGATGGGGCTGAGAAAGTGCAGTTGTCAGGAATCCGAGGCATCTCTGGGGAGTCTTAAAAAGGTTACTCAAGAGTCTGCCTCGAGGGCGGTGGCCAGCCCCCCCACCTGCTCCTTATCAACTTCAGGCAGGGTCACCTCCCCACCTGCACAGCCCCGCACCGCAGGCCCTCCGTCTTCGCCCGCGTACAGGGCAACCCTCACGTTTTCACTTGGCCTGATTCTTTTTATTGTACTCAGCTTTACAGATACAATGTGTGCAATAGCCTTCGCCCATTTATAGTGTTCGGATAGATGACTTATTTTTGATGTCTGTAGTCGTCTCCTGACCCAATCGCAACTCCCCTATCCCAACAACAGCGAGCAGATTTGCTCCTCAGAACGTTCCTCCGTTCCTTCGTTACCCAGTCATTGTGCGGTGGCAGTCGGAGCTTTTGTAAGGCCCCAGCAGGAGGAGATAATCCCGGAGAGACGAGGGCCCCTCCCCTTGGCTATCAGCCTACTGAAACAATGGACCAAATAATTAAAATTTCCTCAGGATTCCCAAACCGTTCAGGGTGGAGATGGGGTCCTGATGCCTCCGTGCTGAGGGTGAGGGGACTGGGCGGAGGGGGGGTGTATAAGGCGGGGGACTTGCTTTCTGGGGAAGATTTCACAGGGCTCTGACAACCTTATCACACCCGTATTTCCTGGTTTTTGTTTCGTCATTTCTATAGGACTTACACACCATCACAGAAATGTCCCTGTTTTGGATAAGCCGTACATGAATCAATTTTTCTTTTAAAAATGTGCTTCCAAATGTCTTTAAAAATGTACATATAAAGTAGCTGGACATGGTGACACAAGCGTTTATTCCCAGTACCCCGAAGAAAGAGGCAGGAGGACCTCTGTGCATTCGAGGCCAGCTTGGTCTATAATTATAGGACAGCCAGAGCTACATATTGAGATCGTGTCTTAGAACAAAAAAAAAACCTAAATGACCTTCTGTGACACTTTTCCGCTGTCACTTTTTTCATGTATTTGGCAGATACTAAGTATTTCTTATGACCCCAGCACGGTTCATACAAAAACAGGAAACGAGTACCAATCATTTTACAAGACCAGGGCCATAACTTTGTTTCCCAGTCGACACCCGGCTCTGGATGCTCCCCTCCCCCACACCTTTTCCAGGCGCTTAGTTGGTCCACTGACTAATCCTTCCTGAGAGGTAATTGTTTTCTTTCTTCTTTCTTCCTGAGGAAAGCTGCAGGGAAAAGAAACACTTAAAACTCAGCTGCTGAGGAGGAGAAAGCCAGGTGGAAACGAAGAATTTCCCGAAGGCCTGGGAGGGGACAGATGTGGGTGGGAACGAATGTTACAGGCCCGGTTTCAAAACCTAGGGCCGACAAGTCTGATGAAGTGGCTGTAAAATCTACTGGAAGGCTCCCTTTGGGCAGGATGGACAGGATGTGAGTTCTTGCAATAGACTCATAAAAGAAAATGTCTGCTCGAACCATTAATGAAGATGGGAAAGTCGGCTACACTGAGAAAGTAGATGTGTCCTCTCCCAAGGCTGTATGTTGGAGATGTGTGAAGGAAAAATCAGTCTAAGACAAGGACACAAAGAAAGAAGACACACAGGAAGGGCATGGCGGTGTGGTGGTGTGTGCGGTATATGCCTCCCGGTGCCTGGGAAGCAGTCTTGCTGCAGGTTCAAGGGCAGCCTGGTCTGTACAGGAGTATCAGGACAGCATGGTTATACAGTAAGACAGAACAACAACAACAACCCACTAGTCTTACTGCAATTTGGATGCAAACCTGGCCTCTTCCTGAACCTGTGATGAAGAGTTTCCACTTCCTCTTTCTGTCCCATTGCTCAAGAGCTCATCGCCCTGAATGAGGGACATCCAGAGCTGTTCCTTCCAGTGATTCTCAACCTTTCGAATGCTGTGACTCCTTAATACAGTTCCTCCTGTTGTGGTGACCCCCAACCATAAAGTCATTTTGTAGCTACTCCATAACTGTAATTTTGTTTCTGTTATGAATTGTAATGTAAACCTCTGCTGTGCAGGCTGTGTGCTATGTGAACCCCCTGGGGGTCTAGTCTCACAGCATGAGAAGCGCTGCTCAGACGTCAGTCACAGAAGTCTAGTAGTGCTGGGGTTGTTGGAATTAAACTTTCAGGATAATTACTTTGCTCCTGTTGCTACACTTGGAGGGTGAGATGGTGAGAGCTTCCGTTTTTACCGAAATACACATGCAAAAATACAGGTAAAAAACGCACAATGGATTAGCTCTTCTCTGCTATTCACCTGTCTAACCACTGCTAAAATCAAGTTCTGGATTCTAGAACATTTCTACACCTGGTTCCTGTGCCGGTTCCAGACTGTAACTTCCCTCTTAGAGGAAAGTCCTCAGGAGAAAGAGTGCTCCCTCCCTCCCTCCTACTCTCCATGTTTCTGTTGGTTTGTTTGTTTTTTAGATAGGGTCTTGTTTTGTAATCCATATAGTTTGTAACTTCCTATGTTTATCCTCAAACTCAGAATCCTCCTGCCTCAGCATTCCAAATGCTATCATGCTTCAGAGTGTTGACTACAGGCAAGCTCCAAAGGGCCAGGGCTCCTTGTGTGTGTTGTACACGCCACACACTGTTAAGTGCTAGAATGTTTTTCATTAAATAAGCTGTGTTTTATTCCTTTGTGTTCCTAGTATCCTACTCATGGATATACATACATTTATCCATATTGATATACACATTATTATCATTATTATTGATTTCTGCAGTACTGGAAACCGAATGCAGAGACGTGTGAGCTGGCCAAACACTATTATGGAGCAATACTCTCAGTCTTTGGTATAGACACTGTTGGCTCTCTTTCTGAACAACATGTATTTTTTTGTCACCTGTCAAATGTATGAATGTTTTTCTCCTAGAAGTGGGATGACTAAATTGCTCTTCGTTAATAAATAATCTCTTTCTTCCTCTCTTCTCTTATTTTGCATTGCTGGGGATTAAACCCAAGCATGTTAGGTAAGTAGTTTGTTACTGAGCTATACTCCCAGCCCAAATAATCAATTCTAAACAAAAATAAGTAAACTATAGATTATATATATATACAGTGTTTTGCTTTTATTTTTTTGGCGACAGAGTCTTACTATATATACTGGCCTCAAACTCACAGCAATCTGACTGCCTCTGCTCCTGGATTAAAGACATGCACAGGTATGCACCACAGACCTAGGCCACGCTGTTTGTTTTTTGATTTATATGGATGTGCCTCCTATGAGTTCTGTGCACCTGTGTCTACGACTGCCTGAGGAGGCCAGAAGAAGGTATCAGGAAGTACAGGGAACTGAACCTACATCCTCCACAAGAGCAGAAAATGTTCTTTCCCACTGAGCCATCTCTGAAGCTCCTCCCCTCCACTAGCTGTACTGTGTTTTTGGTTTGTTTAGTTTGGTTTTTCAAAACAGGGTTTCTTTGTGTAACAGTGCTGGCTGTTCTGGAACTCACTTTGTAGACCAGGCTGTCCTCGAACTCACAGACATCCGCCTGCCTCTGCTTCTCTTGTGTGAGTGCTGGAATTAAAGGTATGTGTCACCACCACCCAGCAACAAGCTTGTGTTTTAAATACAATGTTGTATGTACATTATTGTAACTAGTCTCTGATTACGGGCTGTATGTGGAATGGGTGACATTTGTCTGCATTCTTATAGGTGTCGAAGCAAAGTCGGAAGATTTTGAGTGGCCATTTGAAAGTCACAAGATTAGTACATTGCGAATTCAGAGGAGAACCCATCTCCTGCTTCTTTCAAAGGCATGTTCTCTTCTTTCTGTCTCGCTAGCCTGTGTCAGTGGCCAGGTCACCCAAACATCCATTTTGCCTGGGACTGTGATTTTAACACTGAAAAGGCACAGGGCCAAACTAGACGGTCGATTGCTCCACAAAGGGACCATGGGCGAAGGGGTGCAAGACTGGCATATAGAAACCCAGAGCAAAGTTGGGTGCGGTAATGCATGTCTGTAGTTCCAGCGCTCTCTCTTGAGGCTGAGGACCTGGGTTTGAGCCTGGTTGCATGGTTCGACCTTCTCTCAAAAACAAAACAAAACGGAACCCTAGCTACATTCCTACTCTTTCACTCCCAAAGGAAAAGGTATTTAAAGTCAAGAAACTGCATCACCAGCACACTTGTGCCTTGCATAGAACGAGGAGCACTCATCTGCACACATCCATTACCATCTAGCCTAGCGCTCACTCAGATTGTACTCGAGGGACCAGTGCTCCAGGGACCGGTGCTCTGGGGACCAGTGTCTCTCAGGAGACTATTAGAAATGCAAAGACAAATTTCACAATGTTGTCCAGACCTAAAGAAATTCGGGGGAATTCACTGAGTTGTGGCAGACCAGCTCACCAGGCTGGGGTGGAACACAGTGGGAAATAGGAGGTCAAGTCTGAGGACAGGCGACTTAGTCACTGTCCCTTACAGATGGACAGTGGCCATGTAGCTTCACACTCCAAACCAACCAGACAAAAAAGATTTCTAGGTAGAATGACTGTGATCTCAGCCGAGTGTTCAAGTGCTCCCCTGACATGAAGTAAATCTTAATTTTGGGGGAAAAAAAAAAGCAGATAACAGGTTTTGCTTATTAAAATTCTCTCTCTGCCTGGTAGGCATGCTTTACTTCTTTTTCTGCTGTGCTTGTGATAAAATCCATTTTCTATTTTGCTTTTTTTATCTTTCTAATGTCATTTCAAGTATGCTTCATGTACTGCTTAAATTATGTTATCTAAACCCGGCGATGGTGGCATACAGTTTTAATCCCAGCACTTGGGAGACAGAGACAGGTAGATCTCTGAGTTCGAGGCCAGCCTGGTGTATAAGAGCTAGTTCCAGGACAGGTACCAAAGCTACAGAGAAACCTTGTCTTGAAAACAACAACAACAAAACCAAATTATGTTATCTAAACCCATCAATGGTGGTGGTGCATGCCTTTAATCCCAGCACTCCAGAGGCTGAGGCAGGTGGATCTCTGTGAATGACACCAGCCTGGTCTACGGAGTGAGTTCCAGGACAACCAGGGCTACACAGAGAAAAATCACTTAAGGTATACCGGAAATGGTTCAGCAGGTAAATGCGCTTGCTCCCAAGCCAGCAGGTACCAGATCTATCCCGAAGAGGTACAGGGTGGAAGGAGAGAACCAACTCCTGCCAGCCTGGCCTCCACACTCACTCTGCAGGTGTGCACACATACCTACACATACAATAATAAATAAACGCCCAAAACAATTTAGACGAAGAACTAAAAACAGAGAAAGGAAGAAGCAGGATTTGCCGACTAAGTCTTTGAGCAGGCATGGATTTGTGTCCCCCGGCTCTGTGTGACTCTGTTCACACCAACAGACTTATTTAACTCTGATCCGGGACTCAGTCCAAACCTTCCAGCGCCAGCCCAGTTTCTCTTTGCTCATCTATTCTAGCCCACTTATCTTTCCTTCCCCTTGTTTCCTGGAGAGGAGTTGCCATGGGGATAGTGTCGCTATAGTAAACCAGCTGGTGGGGCAAAGTTGTAACAGAAGCTACATGAGAAAGAGCCTGGAGTTCAAAGACTAAGGCAGACAGGGGCTCTGCTGCGGTGGAGAGGGGAGGCTCGGGAGGACTCCTGGAAGTGACAAAGTGTCACGGCAAGCATAGGCAACTGAATAAAGACACAGCACAACGAGAACAGAACGATCAAATCATGAAAGCTGACTCTGGGGCCTGGCTTGTATTGGAGACACAGTCAGATGAGCGGATTCTGCTGGATTCTGCACAAAACAGCTGGAAATAGATGCAGGGGTGGGGTGGGTGGGGCTCAGATCAGAGCCAGTTCCTGGGAAGTGTTAATCTGTTCTCATTTTCTTCCTCCTGAGCTCTGCCTATTTCCAAGGAAAGTGTAGTGGGCAGTTAGATATCATGTCTTCATTTCTGTATTTGTTTTCTCTTCCTTTTCTAGCCTCTGACCTTTTGGCATACACAGAAAGGAACCTCCCTAAAATGACGAAAGGCTCAGAACACTTCCCTTAGGCAAACCCTTGTGTCTGTTGCTGTTTGGTTTGAGACAGGGTATCCTTATGTAACCCTGCCTGGTCTGGAACTCCCTATATAGACCAGGCCTTTAATTCAGAGATGTGTCTGCCTCTGCCTCCGGAGTGGGGTGATTGGCGCAAAAGGAGGCACCCTTGGGTGTTTGCTTCTCTTTCTGGCAGTGCTGGGATGAACCCTGGTTTCATGGATGCTGGGTGAGCATGCAGACCCTAGGTGGTTCTCTCAGAATGCCCGATCTCAGAACCTTCAGGTTCTCCTTATGGGTCCCCTCCCCGCTTTGTCCAGGTTCTACATCCTGACAGCTGTCACAGTCTCCTTTTCATGGCTCGGTTTTCCAGCGCCATCCTCATCTCTGAGCCAGACACCCGCTGTGCCCCAACTCTTCTCGGAGGTGTTGCTTATTCCAATTCTACAGTTTTACGGCAATTCTCTTCACAGCGACCACATCCATCCTTCCTTACTCCTGATGTGCCAAATGTGTGTCATGTCATCTGCTGTGCTTTGCTCTATTAAAACGTCTCCTGCTGGGCACACACCTCTAACCCAGCACTCAGAAGTTAGATGCAAGAGGATCTCTGAGTTGGAGGCCAGCCTGGTCTACGTAGCATGTTCCAGGCCAGGATGACATTCTCTCTCTCTCTCTCTCTCTTTCTCTCTCTCTCTCTGTGTGTGTGTGTGTGTGTGTGTGAGAGAGAGAGAGAGAGAGAGAGAGAAAGAGAGAGAGAGAGAGAGGACGAATGTGCATGATGGAATAGAAGGATGGAACCCAGGCCCTTGTGGCTGCTCAGTGTGCCCTACTAAGGAACGACATACCCACACCTCCATGCTTTCTCTAAGTTTGCCTTCCCATTGCTTCCCTTGACCCAGTGTCATTGCTTCAGTTCATAGTCTATACGTTATTTCTTTTTTTAAATATTTATTTATTATGTATACAATATTCTGTCTGTGTGTATGCCTGCAGGTTAGAGGAGGGCACCAGACCTCATTACAGATGGTTGTGAGCCACCATGTAGTTGCTGGGAATTGAACTCAGGACCTTTGGAAGAGTAGGCGATGCTCTTAACCTCTGAGCCATCTCTCCAGAAATACGTTATTTCTGTAAGAAGAGTCTCTAAATAGAAACCAGCTTGTCTGCTTCAAACAAGTGTCTCTTACTTCTTTTAGAGCAAAAATAAGGTTAAAAGTCAGCAAACCAGACACATCCCTGTGACATTGTTGCTGACTTGCTACACTACAGACTATGCTGAAAACAATGGACAAATGAGCAAATTGAATACCGTATCCCTGCTCTCTACAGGGTGAGCTTACGGAGGAAGGAAAAGGACTCCAACCATTCTCTGAAATCTGAAGGTCTTGCAAAGACACTGTTTATACAAATAAATAGTAATCTATGTATGGAAACTGAGCTCTGGGAAGCAGGACTCGTGTATACATTTCAAGCCACTACCGACTTGAAATGGCTCATGCCCTCAAGCCCAGCAGAGGCAGACAGATCTCTGTGAGTTAGAGGCCAGCCTAGTCTACATAGTGAGTTCCAGGACAGCCAGGGCTACACAGAGAAACACTGTCTTGAAAAACAAAACAAGGGCTGGAGAAATGATTCAGTAGTTAAGAGCACTGACTGCTCTTCCAGAGGACCTGGGTTCAATTTCCAGCACTCACATGGCAGCTCACAACTGTCTGAAAATCCAGTTCCAGGGGATCTGACACCTTTACACCAAATGCACATAAAATAAAGATAAATAAATCATAAAAAGCCTAAATGGAAGAAAAGAAAAAGAAAAAAAGAAAAGCAAAACAACAAAAATAACAAAAACAAAATTGTACATTCCCTCTATTAAAAAGGTACTCACTTATTCTTTCAAACACATACTTGGAATTTCCCAATTTCTGGAAGCTTTCCCTGGTTTATGTACGTGTCCTGTGCTTACAGACATACTCAATATTTAAGAGAACAAAAGACTCGCTGACTATGAGATTAAAGATACCGGGGGGGAGACACTTCTCCCCATTAGACTTCGGGTAG